CGTCAATGGCCTCTCACTCAAGCGCCGTGATACCTTTTCAATAGAAACTTTTTGCTTGTGTGCTCTAGCCTATCGCTCGAGCGACGACTTTGCCTCTAGCTTGGCACTAGCCTGTTGTGTTACTTATTTTCCTCCTCGTTTTTCTTCAAACTTTGCACCGCAATTTCCCATTCATCCGGAATTGGTTTTGAGATTCCAAATATATTACAACAATATACTCGACGAGTAGAACAAGTTAGTCTATTTATTTTTATAATTTGACTATCAGACCAAGTTCGAATATTTGGCAGAACTTGACACAAAAGTCACTTTTCAAGTTTTATACTTAACCAAATTTTCAATTTTTAAACCAAATTTCAATAATCCCCCACATGAATGGAAATTCAAATATGTTCATGCAATGCAAAAATATGATGCATCGTAGAGAGAGTTAAAAAACACTGCATCAGGTAAGGTCCCTTTCGATTTTGAACCTTCTTTAGTAAATATTCTTAGATTTACTAGGCTAATTGATGAATGATATGCTTTGAACTATTCAACCGTTGGTGTAAACCAAGACAACTATATTTAAACATATGTTTTCCCTAAATCGTTCATGGTTCTCATGACTTGATTCATTTTGGACCTGAATCACTCTTGGGTTTTATAAGTGTTTAGAAAATTTCAGCATTGAACAATTTTCATTAAGGCGGCCTTTCTTCACACTTACATAAGTGGCCTCCTATTAAGAGTATTCTTCCCTTCACCTTTAAGATTCTGCAGAAAGAACTTTAATTATCATATAAATAAGTTAGAATTTTTTTTTTCAAGTGCTTCATTAAATATTCATAAATTAGTTGTCCTTTTGAACCAAGATCATGAGATCTCCAATCAATAATGTAGGGTTACCATTACAAAGATTCTTACGTAGTAGGCTTTAATCTCATTCCTCACGATATGCAGTATTCTTGATCTCTCGGTAAATCTCTTAAAGGTACCACGAATCTACACCATTGAGATCGACTGCTTAACGGTATTATGTCTACGTCTAGACTTATCATTACATATATAATCTTTGAAAATAATACCATTTGAGATCGGTTGCTTAATGATATTGTGTCTATGATGTATATATCTTGACTTACAATTATACATGCTACTTTGAGCCCTTCCAATATCCAATTGAATATCACAATGTATACCTATTGTAGGTACTAGCTTAAGCCAACATAGAATTTCTTTCAAGTAGTTACAAAGTCATTCCACTCCAACTTTATTCAAAGCAATAAACTCTGATTACGTTGTTGATCAAGCTATATACGTTTTCTTTGTCGATTTCCATGATATAACAACACTACCAATGGTAAATACATAATCATTAGTAGACTTGAAATTCTTCATGTCGCATATCAAATTTGCAATTCTTCATGTCGAATATCAAATTTGCATCACAATATCCTTCCAATACCGTGAGATACTTTGTGAAGTAAAAACCATAGGTTAAATTATACTTCAAATACCTAAGAATCCTTATCAAAGTCTTCCAATGATTGTGACTTGGATTACTTGTGAATTTATTAAATTTATTCATAGTAAACGCTATGTCTAGTTGGGTGCAATTCGTAATATAATTAGACTGCCTATAACCTGTGAATAGTTTAGTTGTGACACGCATTCACCCGTATTTTTGACTAAGTGTAAATTTGTGTCAATAGAGGTTTTCGCAAGACTTTTTTTTAAATACATTATACATTTTAAGTACACTCTCAATGTAGTAAGATTGAGAAAAGATCGTTTTTTAAGATGTTCTAGAGATTTTGATTCCTAATATCATATCAGCCACACCTAAGTCTTTTATATCAAAATGTTTCATTAACATTCTCTTGGTATTTAGTATTATTTCGTGACTATTGAACATTATCAACATGCCGTCTTCATATACACATACAATCACATAGGCTTTCAGTGTATTTTTTTTTTTTTTTTGTGTATACACACTTCTCACTTCTCACACTTTTATCTTAAATCCATTAGACAACATCATTTTGTCAAACTTTTGGTGCCATTGTTTAGGTGCTTGTTTCAATCCATACGAGGACTTAACGAGTTTACAAACATTTTGTTTGTAGTTAGGAAATACGAACTTTTTGGGTTGTTCAATATATATATCATATTCTAACTCATCATTTAGGAATGTCATTTTTACATCCATTTGATGAACCACAAGGTTATGTAATGTCGCAATTGCGGTGAACAACCTTATCGAAGTGATTCTAGTCATGGGTGAGTAGGTATCAAATAAGTCAAGTCAACCTTACATTTTTCAATGGACCCATTTTGTTTAAGTTTGTTTTTGAAAATCCATTCACACCCTAAACACTTATTTTCAGGAGGTAAATCAACTAACTCCCAAGTATGGTTTTGCATTATAGAATCTATGTCACTATTGGTACCTTCTTTCCAATGCGGTGCTTCAGGTGCAGACATTACTTCATCGAAAGTTTTTGGATCATTTTCTACCATATATGTTAAAAAATCTAGACCAAATGAAGTAGATGTTCTAGCCATTTTACTATGCTTTGGTTCTTTCTCTTTCGAAGTGTCATTTGAAGTTTTGTAAGTTCTTTTATTTGAACTTGCATTTTCCTTATCTTTATATGGGAAAGAAAATTCTCGAAGAATAATGCATTCATGTACATCTTGGATTTTAGATTTATCTACAAGGAAACTATATGCACTGCTATTATTAGCGTATCCAATAAATATATGATCAATCGTCTTAGAACATATTTCCACTTGTTTAAGGTTAGATACTTCAATTTTAGCCAAACACCCCAACACTTTCAAGTGTTGGTAGGACGGATGATGACATTTCCATTGTTTATATGGACTTTCTTCTATTTACTTAAGGGGTATCTTGTTAAGAATCCTACTTATCGAAAGAATAACTTCTCCTTACAAGTTTTGGGATAAACCCGAACTTATCAACATTGCATTCATCGTCTCTCTAAGAGTTCGATTTTTGTATGAAATAACACCATTCAAGGTGTCATTCTTTGATGAATGATTTGATACTCGGAACAATATTCTTCAAATGGTGCCCCATATTCTACACATCTATCACTACGAACATTCTTTATTCATTTACCAAGTTAATTTTCAATTTTCATCTTATAATGTTTGAATACATCAAAGGCTTCATCTTTACTTTGTAGTAGAAAAATATAACAATACTTTGTACAATCATCAATGAAAGTTATATAATATGTCTTACTACATTTAGTTTGAACGAATTTCAAATCACATATATCACTATGTATTAATTTTAAAGGTGTCGTGTTCCTTTGAACCAATGAAAATGTGACTTAGATTTGTAATTAATGTGTCCTAGTCCACTATGCCATAAACAAGACAACTTACACATATAAATAGAATTTGAATTTTTATTCGTAATGTTTTTTGGTACAGTTGTATGGAGTTCATTTTGAACATTCATTCACGAAGATAATCCTTACCAACATACATATCATTTTTGGTAAGTGCGAACCTATCCGATACAAATACGAATTTAAAGCCGTTCTTGCTAAGTAGAGACCTCAAAACTATGTTCTTGCGAATGTCCAGCACATGGAGGACATTATTGACTAGTTCTTTCCAGAAAGTCATTTTCAATGTGATCTTTCCAAATCCTTCAACCTCCGAACTTGTAGAGTTCTCCATGAACAATTGTTCTCCTTTCGATACATGATAGTTTGAGAAAATGGTCTTATCTGGACAAGTATGGTGGGTAGAACCAGTGTCAACCACCAATCCCTTAGATTACCATCCATTTTGCATTTAAAAACAACCGCAAATAGACTAATCTCTTGAATTCATTCAGATGGGATGCCTCTTTCAACTACATTTGATTGTACAGACTTCTTCGACTTTCAACATTCGTTTGAATGATATCAGACTTTTTTACAATTTTAATAGTTACCTTTAAACTTCTTGGCATTCTTGGAGTTGTCTCTTCTTGGTGCATCACCTGAGATCTTATGCTTCTTGTGATGACCTTCGAACCGTTTCAACGAAATTTGCTCCAAGTTGAACAACGAATTTTCTTTTGATACTTCTAGTGTCTTCTTCAATCATCAAACGGACTATCAATTCTTCCAAATTTATCTTTTTGTGTTTGTGCTTGAGGTAGTTCTTGAAATCTCTCTACATAGGAGAGAGTTTCTCAATGATGGCTGCAACTTGAAAGAATTCACTCAATTCCATTTTTTCTGCATATATGTTATGAAGTAGAACTTGAAGTTCTTATACTTGACTTATCACGATTTTGAAGTCTACCATTTTGTAGTTCAAAAACTTTCCGACAATGAGTTTCTTTGTTCCCACATCCTCGGTCTTGTGCTTTTTCTCCTATGAATCTCATAGATCATTGGTCAAGTCCATTGAACTACATACTCCATATAATGTATTATCCAAACTATTTAGTATATAGTTTTTGCAAAGGAAATTCAATTGCTTCAATATATTTAAGGCAATAATCGATTCATGATTATTTTCTACTTCTTGTACCTAGGAGCGGTTTCTTTTAAGAACTTTGTCGAATTCAAAGAAATAAGATAGAACAATATCTTTTGTTGCCATTGTTAGAAGTTCACACCTCCAATCTTTTTCGATTTTTCCCTATATGGAATATAAGAGTTTGGTATAGGTATAACAATTAAAAGAATACAAAAGTTCTATACTCAACCAAATTTTCAAGCTTTAAACCAAATTTCAACAATTTTCACCGGTACAAGGGCTGAAATATATTTAACTTTGCCATTATAAGATGACAAAAATTTAGATTTCTCATATATATTTATCATGTGCCATCATACACATACATCCATTTCAGAAAAGTAAAAGTAAAAATTGTATGCTAAGTAAATGAACACTCTTCTAATTAAATTCTAACATTTCTTTTTGTATGCCACTTATACAAATGTGGCTTCTTATTGGTATATATATGAACGATTTGACAAACCTTAACTGTGTAAGATCAAATCAAACATGAATTTCATGAAAAATTGGGTTAGGTACGTGCCATATATACAGTATTCCCCATGCATGCATTTGTTATTACAAGACCCGCAGTGCCTTTTATCATACGAAGAATTTACACATTCCCCTCCACAGTATACCTCGGTATAAGCACATTTCTTCTTGCACGCTCCACAATTATGCTTATCATATGCCAAGTCCATACACTTGTTGTTGCAACAAGTCATGTTTTTCCCTTCCATGCGACATATTTCGTTGTCCTTGTGGCAATGATCAGCAGCTCTCGGGTTCTTTTCTTGTTGCTCAAGAAATTGTCTAGCCAGAGTTGAGGCCATTGGTTTCCCGTCATGCAACGTGGGTTTTATGTGCTTAAAAGCCAGTTGATCATGATCACCTTGTGAACAAGTGATGTTTTGAATCGAGTATATGAGGGTTAAGGCCATGATAATGAAGATTAATTTGATCACCTTCATTATGTTGAAGGTGGGACACAAGGGGAAGTTAAGATGGAGAGGATTATGGAATTATTTATTTATTTATTTGATTATAATGGAAGAGAAGAAAGATTGCTAATTTATAAGAGAATGGAATGGAAGTGTGTAGGGTTTTATAGGGATGCCCACAAGAAGAGTTGACGAGAATAATATGGAAAAGGTGAAGGCCCCCTTTGGGGTTTGCTACATAGAGAGTGCTCTAATTAATCAAAACCAATATAATATATACATAAAATGTTTATTTGTATGTAATATGTGTGTATTTGCAAGCCACATCATTTAGCTTTACTTAATTAGCAATGCATTCTCTTTCCCTTGCTTAATTAGCATTATTATTATAAGCTCTAATTAGTCGTGGAAGTTTTGTCTAGACATTGGCAAGGGCAGAGCCATGGTCAAAGAAATTTAATTTTAACTAAAACAAAAAAAATAAAATTAGATGGGCTTGGTGCAGTCCTTGACTTTAGCTTGGCCCCTGGACGTGGGGAAATGATAGCTTTACTGTAAAAAAATTGTTGCAAGCAAGATATAAAAGAGTATGTCCTTATTTGGTTTAGATAAAAATTAGATTTTTAGTAGATTTTAATAAAAGTTGATGGAATGTAGGTCGAAAAATTGTGAATCTTATGAAACGCATTGTTAAAATTAATTTATAAACTCCGAACTTGGCTATTTTCTTAATTAATGAGCTAGAACTTTGAAGATAAAATTCTAATTAGAATCAAAACGATATGATCGGAACTTAAAATGCTTAAATGTACAATTTCATCGTTTAAAGTTCAAATCAGCTAAAATATTAAAACCATTTAGCAGTTGTACTTCCATTTGAATATAACATATCGCACGTTCTGAACTGTGTTGTGTTACGAAAATTATTAATTTGTCATGTGGGCCGTCATATTTATTTAATTGTGTATAAATGTTATCTTAAGTTAAGCACAATTAAAGTGATCTAATAAACAATTAAAGTTATGGACTTTGAGCATCTAAATAAAATGTAGGCCGGATTATATGTGTAGAAACCAAATTCCTTTAAAATTGTATTTCGTGATGGACGAAATACATATGGAAATTATATATAGGGTTATGGTCCCAAATTAATCTGTAATTTATCATTCTTTGTATCATCCCATCAATACAAGAATACAAGAGAAAGATCAAAAACTCACAACCAAGATCAATAATCAAGAATCAAGAAGTATGAATTCAAAAATCAAGACTATGGATCAAGAAGTAAAATCAATAACAAGAATTAAAGAATCAAATGATGCAAAATTCAAGATTAAAAGTAAAGAACCCAAACATGAAAAGATTGTTGTTCAAGTTTCAAAATTCAAGATTCGGAATCAAAATGTAGTAATAAATAATCATTCCCAAATAATTAAGGTATGTTCCGTATTATTAATTTTCTTAGTGATTTGACATGAAAGATCTTGACAATAAAGGAATTTAGGTTTTCAAGTTCTAAAGTTTGTTTAGTTTTATATAATTTAAAGTTTCTTAAAGATTCAACAAATGGTATCAGAGCCAATCCACGTTAAACCATTGTGATTAAAGGAAGATTTTAGAGTTGAAATTCATACTTGAATTTTATAAAATTTGGGAAGAGAATTCCAAAAATTTGGAATTTTGGTAAATTTTTGGACTTACAACATAGCAACAATGCTGCAGCGCCGTGTTACGGATGTCCCTGAGTAGGCAATGCCGAAACACGGCACTGAGATAATAGCTCCTAGGCACGACACTACTAGTGCATGGCGCCACTTAAACAAGAGAAAACAATTTTTAACAGAACAGTTCAGGCCTAGTCGCTTCCTGACTAGCGCCACATTCTGGAATATCGGTGCCGCAACGCCACTTATGCAGCACTTAAGCGCTGCACCACGAAATTTAGGGATATTTTTTATCCCAAAAAAAAAAACAATTAAAGCCCAACTAACCGTAACTCAAGATAGACATTGAAAGAGTCATAAATATAACATTTTAGAGGATTTTGAAGGACTCTTAATCTAAGGAGGAAAGCAATTGAAGAGAGTGGGAGAAGAAAGATTGATTCAACTCCAAAAACAATTTTCCTTCATGTTTATGATTACGAATTTGAATTTTCTTTATTTTCCAATCATGAAATAAGTCAATTATCCAGGGGATTGATGTAATCTATACTTGATAATCTTAGTTGTGATCATAGAATAACACAACCTAGAATTTTATAGGTTTTGAGAGAAAGTATAGATCCTTTAAAGCTTGTTACATAGAACCATAGAACTTAATGAGTTCTTATAATTTTGATTTGGAATAAAGATACTAGAATTGGAATTTATGAAGGATCTTCTCATATTATTTAATCTTTAAGAACGGCATTCCATCATTGATTTAGTCAAACTTTCAATTTAGATTTAGATAAATTTCATTGATTCTATTAATTCGATCGTCTAGATAAAGTGGAGGTTATTTTAATTATAGTACTTAGTAGAGATTTAATTGTCAATCCCTACAAATTTGACACCCTAACTCATCGTTGTGTATTATAAAAATTGACACTATGAGCTTGCAGTATAATCTCAACTAACTAGTTTTTAGTGTCATCACTAGAGATTGATTGGTTTTATTTTTACTAATATTTTCACTACTTAAATTTAATTTTAATTTAGATTTATTTAATTTTAATTTTTTGTTTGTTGGTGTTTCAGTTGTTTATGCGAAGATTGAAGAGTTTTGAATTACTACCATTTGATCTTGAGATCGAAAGAACATTTCGGAGATTAAGGGCTATAAAAAAAAGATTGAAGAAATGGCTGCTAACAACAATGAGCTATTCAAGATTATGTTTGACCAGTTGTCAGCAACGATTTCCTTACACACGACTAGGTGATCTTCAAGAGATGTGCATTCTGCCATACGATGAGAATAAATGTGTTGCTTCAAGTGTAATTGCTAGTAAGACTCTTCGTCATGCAAATTGTTCCAATCTTAACAATAACGTAGGGGCAGACTTCTCATTCAAAAGGTGAATATGAATTTGTGATGAGGCCTTCTGAATTTGTCAATCAAAAATGTCATTCAAAAGATGAAGATGAATTTGTGATGATCTGATCCCTACGTTGTTTTTCCTCCTAATTCCAAGTTGTGAACATCTTGTCAAATCCCAACAACAAATTGTCCAAATCCATCTGAGCTAGTATTGCTTGCATCTTTACCTGTGAAAATCTTGTACTGCAATCCAAATTCAAAATATCATATTTTATGGTTTTCACCCAAAAAAATAAAATCTCCCTATGAATTAAGCATGAGCTCTGATACTAGTTTGTTATAAACAACGAAGAAAATATCGGATAATTTTGATACCAATTTGTTGTGAAAATATGTAAGAAAATAATAACACAATATGAAGTAATTGATCACAATTTTGAGAACAAAATAATTTGCAGGGAAATGTAGATTTCACTAAAATATGAAGAGAGAATACAATGATTTTGTGGTCCAACTTAATCTTCATTACATACATACATACATACATATATATATATAGTAAAAGTATCACGATTATAGAGAATAATATACCTAAAAGTCAAATATGAAGACGGCAAAGAACACAACAACATTAACGCTAAATCCTCATCATCATACTTCACTTCCAACGTTTCTAAATGAGCTACAATTTATTTGAACATAGATAAGTGATCATCTATTGATGTACCTTCAGACATCAGGTGGGAATATAAGCATCGTTTCAAGTGTAACTTGCTGGTCAAACTCTTTCTCATATAAACCTGCTCCAGTCTCAAACAAAATGCAGCGACACTCTTCTCCTTAGGAATATCCCGAAGAATGTGATTTGATAGATATAGAAAGATTTGTTATAGGGCTTTTCGATCTCTATGCTGCTTTTTATCCTATGTTCAAGTTGAAGGCATCTTATCAGAACCTAACAAGGTATCATCCAAATCCATCTACGCATGAACAACAATCTTTTACTTGCCATAGAGAGCATCTTGTGTTACAATCCAATAACATGATATCATAATTCTTCGTTGCCATGCAAATTATCAACCTTGCTCTGGTACCAATTTGTTATGGAATAAGTGCAAGATAAAAGCGAGATGAAATTAAACCAATCACACAAGAACACAAATATTTTACGTGGAAACCCAAAATAAGAAAAACAGAACATAGGCAGAGGAGGAGTATTTCACTATAGTCAATAATGAATATTGTTTACTCAAGATTTTATTGTTCTCAATCAAGATCTAAAGCTCTATCAAAGCTCTATGAATGTTATGTAATGTTCACAAGCCGTGGATGATATTTATAAATCCTAGAAACAGAGATATAGATGATAAGAGATACGGAAAACACGTTAAACACATGAAACTGGTTGAATAAATATGGTGTTTGTGCGCCCACCCAGTGATAAGCGAATAGCGCCTCATCGGTAAGCAGGCGATAGTGCATCGCTCAGACATTGTACGTATGGCGCTGGGGCATCTCGTCTCTGGAAAAATTGGTACTATGCTTCCGAACAGTGCCTAGGAGCTTCGATCCTTGCACTTGGACACCCTACTTTTTGCATAAAAATCCTTATTTCATCTTATGACTTATTCAAAGACCTTTTCCAACTGAAACTCCAATCACCATAGATTTTGGGTCACAATATAACAAATTAATAAACTCAAAGAAAATTAAACATTAATTTGAACCGAAAACATCTTGTACTTCCAAGAAAAGATTATATTTGAAAGCAACCAATAATAGAAATGAACAATATATTCCATACTTCATTGGAAAAAACCCATGTTAATATAAATGACGAGGAATTGTAGAATGAATTTATCATAAAATAATGATCAGCTACAAAAAAAATCTTAAAAAATAATAACTCGCCTAAAATTCTATCATCATAAAAAAAACTTGGTCTTTTACACGGAGCTAAAGGAAAAAAAAATTCTCGA